AAAATTTTAACCCAACTTCAACTTTTACTTTCAACAGTACATTTTTTAATTACATTTTTAACCCAACATTTGGGTTTGTCCATATTTGACCCAACATTTGGGTTGAAACAACCCAGCATTGTTTAGAGTGTAAATAAATTTAAAACAATCATATGTTAGTAGATGTTTTAGTGCCTGACTATTTAAGAATGCACACAATCTGTGTATGTCAGTCGATGCTGCCACTTCTTTGTGTCTCGAGGCTCATTAGTCACATCATATTTACAGCTCAGGTTATTGGCTCAAAACATTGATGCACTCTAAAAAATGCTGGGTTGTTTCGACCCAAATTTGGGTCAAATATGGACAAACCCAAATGTTGGGTTAAAAATGTAATTAAAAAATGTACAGTTGAAAGTGAAAGTTGAAGTTGGGTTAAAATTTTAAATTAAGTTTTTAATCCAACATTTGGGTTTGTCCATATTTGACCCAAATTTGGGTTAAAACAACCCAGCATTGTTTAGAGTGTGTCTCTGGAATGAACAAAGATAGCAGGTTACGTTTCAATATTTGATTACTATAATCTTACTTCAAGTCTGTAATGCATGTAGTATCTCTGCTCCACCGGCAAACCGAATCACACAGCTTTCCAGAACACCGTCGGGATATTGAGGTGAACATCTCACTTATACATGCAGACTTTAGCCAATTACACCAGTATTTTCCAGCAAAGTTGTGTTTTGACAATAACAGGGAACTCTTCAGTTTCACTGCATCAGGAAACACTTCAGACATGAGGTTCTCAGAGGCCTAGTTTCCCTTCTGTCAGTGTAACTCACCGGTGTTACCTGATTAAAAACTATTTATCAGGGAAAACTGTGTCAAGCATTGAATTACAGGATTACAGCGCCATGGAAGGCAAGGGATTGTGTTTACAAGGTATGTAGTGTTTCCCCTGTAAATAGGTTTCTGTGGAATAGGTACAGTTAGGATTTAGGCTCATTAGATTAAATGCAAGCAAATAAATGCATTCATTAGGGATCATGAAATTTTGCCCCGAGAACTTTGTATTCACATTGAACGTTAAGCCTTGTTTATTCTCCTGAGAGAATCTGTGCGCTCACACACTGCAACACACACATATAACATGCATATTTTAAGGCATTTCTATATTTGCTTTTTTTAAAAGTAATTATTAGATCATATTACAGAGATGATAGAATGCGTCTTAAACTATTTTTTTCTGACTATACGACAAAAATGCATTACAAACATATTTGAAGAATGTAGAAAATATTATGATACCTGGGTTTACAGGTATAACAGATTTCATGCATGCCTTGGTTTGCGCTTACGTCTTTCGCTGGAAACGTCACACTGACTCCTCTGTGTGCATGCTCATCAAGTCATTTCAGACATTTAGGGCTGCTTTCATAACATGCTCTCATGTGACATATAGAACTAATGCAAAAGCACAACTCATTTTTTGAACATAGACCTGGAAATTAAATTTCCAACTTAAACTGTGGTAAATCTTGAAGGTTTGATCTGTTTTCATAGATGACACTTGGCAGATTATTGCTGAAGTGAAAAAAGTTTTAAAGAGTGAACTTAAAAAAGAAACAGAATTTTACATGCATTGTTATGAAAAATGCACAAAAATATTATTTTCAATTTTTTTATGAAATATATATTTTCAAAATCACGTTTTACTCTAAAACTGCAAGAAAATCAAAGCCATAAATCTAAACAAGTTGTGTTCAAAATTTGAGGTTGATATCTTAAAAAATGAGCGTTCAGTGAGGCTGCAGTTCCAAACGCTTCCACTAGAGGAAATTCGTCTCCCATTCATTTCCAATGCATCATTTCTGACCGCGAGAAACTCAAGTGTGACTATTGTTCACAGCACCATTAAACCTGTTCATATCATGTCCATGATTTATTTGTGTGTTTTATCAGCAAGTGCCAAAACCTTTACCAAGTTTCGTACCATTCCGATGAAGAAAAAAATTCTAAACAAACAAAACGTAAAAAATGTCGGCGTATACGACAGCGTGTTCCACGTCCTGCCAATATCCAGCAACTTCGCACAGCCATTGAAGAGGAGCGGAATAACATACCACAGGCCACAATCAACAACCTTTCTACCAATATAGTAAAACTGCACATTTTAGAGTGGCCTTTTATTGTGGACAGCCTAAGGCACACCTGTGCAAAAATCATTCTGTCTAATCAGCATCTTGATATGCCACACCTGTGAGGTGGATGGATTACCTCGGCAAAGGAGAAGTGCTCACTAACACAGATTTAGACAGATTTGTGAACAATATTTGAGAGAAATAGACCTTTTGTGTACATAGAAAAAGTCTTAGATCTTTGAGTTCAGCTCATGAAATTATCGTGTGGAGCTGTGTCTACCGAGGTGGGTTATACATCACACACAGTCAGTATCATAGAATTATGTCGAATTGCCGTAAAGCACTTTGTGTTTCTCGCTCGTTCTCGCTTCTCACGAGACTTCCTATTTCCAAATGACCGGGAAATAGACTCGGGGAAAGCCACCATTCTCACCGGAACAGGTTATTTAACCATCCAAATCATTTCTAAACGGTTTTATTAAGTTGAAATAGTTGCCAAGTTCCCCTTTAAGTACTGAGTAATAATGATTAACAGCATGTACTTACTTTAGGATTAGGATTAGGATTTGGTTGAGGGTTAGTTGCATGTAATTATGCATAATTTACTGTTGTTATTATTATGGTAAGTGCGTGTAACATATGTAACAAGGACACATTTAAACCAGCACTGCATTCAAAAGTGTCAAATAATCGAGACAAGCAGCATGTAGTTGTTTCTTTACTGTCACTGATTTCTCATTTGATTACAAGATGCATTCAAATTTGTCAAATATTCTAATCAAATAATAATTTGTCATCTCTCTCAGCATATCTCTCTTTAAAGCTTTTTTTTTCATTAGGAAGCATTTTTTACTTAATGCAGTAATGCATCAAAAAACGACTTAACCACGAGTTTATAAAGAAGCTAATTTTGCATAAAAGCTAATAATGCATGTAAGACTGGAGAAACTGGAAGAACTGGTTGAGGAACGACCATTCTCGAGAAGAAAAGGAACTTTCTGGAAATTACCATTTGAACTCACCGTTTGAGACAAAAGTCTCACCTAACATACATGTCTTCCCCTCACCCCCACTCGTTCTATCACCAAAACTCACACAAGAATATACATGGTGTAATGTGAATGATTATCATCGAGTATTATACATGTTTGGTATCATTTGAAATGTCTCAGGGTGACTGGTACACATGTCTCATTTCCAAATAAGTAAAACAAAAGGTAATAAGGTTTTTAAGAGTTTAGAGATAACATGCACACAAAGGAGGGTGGGATGGTTAAACCCTCCTGTTCTCAAAAGGTGTAAACACTGAATGCAAATTACCATTGTTAGCACATGTTTCCATGTGAAAGAGGTTCTGTCTATATAAAGAAATGTAGCAAAGTCAGATGAATAAACGAGTTAAAACATGAGAAAATGTATTGCATTTAATCAAAATCCCTTTGCCACGCGGAAAGACAGTAACAGACCTTCCCCGCTGATCGGATAAGCCTACATCGGGCCGATCGAGCCGGGCCTTACATGCCTTAAAAAAATGCCCTTTTCAAACAATCTCAGCATCTCTTTTGACTCCACCATCAATGTATTTTCATTAAGAAGCATTTTTGACACAATGAACCATATTGAAGCCAACAATGCATTAAAAGTGCAACTATATCCTCAATCTCATCATCTCTCTTGACAAGTTTAATAAAAAGCAAGTCTTACTAAATACACAGTAAAAAAAACATTGGGTTATTTTAACCCAACCGTTGGGTTACAAATATTGGGTCACTATGTTGGGTTATTTTTAAAATCGTTGCGTAATTTCTAGAAAATAACCCGTTTTTTGGGTTAAATACTTATGTTGTATGTACACTTGTGTATTTTGAATTTATGTACACAATTATGTAGGCTATATTTACATCAAATTCTAGACTCCCCAATATTTAGTTTGTAATTAAAAAAATATATTTGTTGAGACATATTTATTGTTTTATACAAGTAAACAATCTGTATTTGAAAACAAAGTGTAATTTATTCATTCAAATAATGTCATAAATAAAAATACTTAACTTAACTGTTGGGTTACTTTTAACCCAGCTGGCTTTTAACCCAATGCATTGCGTTAAATAAATAACCCACAGTTGGGAAGGTGCTGCTATACCACCCCATAGTTGGGTTACTCGTTGGGTTATTTTTGAAATTTGTTAAATTGTTTATTTGTATAAAACAAATATGTCTCAACAAATATATTTTGTAATTACAAACTAAATATTGGGGAGTCTAGAATTTAATGTAAATATATATAATTGTGTACATAAATCCATACATGTGTACATACCTATTTAACCCAACAGCCGGGTTATTACTAGAAATTACCCAACGATTTTAAAAATGACCCAACATTTTTGGAAAAATAACCAACATAGTGACCCAATATGTGTAACCCAGATGATGGGTTAAAAAATAACCCAACGTTTTTCAACTGTGCATATATCAGCACGGAGAAGCATTTTTGATGCAATGCATTTCCAAAGAGGAGCTGTCAAATAATCTAACAAGCAGCATGTTGCATTTGATCGCATCTCTCTCTCTCTCTCTCTCTCTCTCTCTCTCTCTCTCTCTCTCTCTCTCTCTCTCTCTCTCTCTCTCTCTCTCTCTCTCTCTCTCTCTCTCTCTCTCTCTCCTCCAGACGGGAGAGTTGACGGGAGGTAATCCCCTCCATGTGAGGAGGCGGCACGGGTGTGTAGGCGTGTTGTTTTTCATTCAAATCCTTACTAGTCCTATAAAAAGCGGGACTCGGTGCTCGAAAAAGAGAGAGAGAGAGATAGATAGAGAGAGAGAGGGAGAGAGTGTGTGTGTGTGTGTGTGTGAGAGAGAGAGAGAGAGAGAGAGAGAGAGAGAGAGTGTGTGTGTGAGAGAAAGAGAGGGAGAGAGAGAGAGCGAGCGAGAGAGAGAGCGTTGAACGACACGGCTGTATCTGTACCTGTCCGGACGGGGATGGAGATGCTGCATGGATCCGCAGGTGTCCAAACGGCGAAGGCGTTGAAAAACGCGGCCGTGTGTCTGATGCTTCTCCCGCGGTTCCTGCTCGCGGCACTGACGCTCTGGCTCCTGGATTTCCTATGCATCCGAAGGAAGCTTTTAATGAAGATGCGGGAAAGCGACATCGCGAGCCCTGACGACCCGCCGATGTGCGTGTCCGACTCCAACAAGATGTTCACGCTCGAGTCGCTGCGCGCCGTGTGGTACGGACAGAAGCTGGACTTCTTTAAAACGGCGCGTTTGGGCGGCGCGGCGCCCAACACAGAGGTGGTTCCGCTGGACAACACGCGTCTGAGAGGCACGCGGAGGATTCTAGACTACGCCCGCGGGAGGAGACCTCTCATAATCAACTTCGGGAGCTGCTCCTGACCGCCGTTCATGACGCGCCTGTCGGCGTTCCAACGCGTCGCACGGCAGTACGCGGACATCGCAGACTCGCTGCTGGTGTACATCGAGGAAGCGCATCCGTCAGACGGCTGGGTGAGCTCCGACGCGCCGTATCAGATCCCGCGGCACCGCTGCCTGGAGGACCGGCTCCGCGCCGCGGAGCTCATGAACCAGAAAGTACCGGAGAGCGCAATAGTCGTGGACACCATGGAGAACTCGTCCAACTCGGCGTACGGTGCGTATTTCGAGCGCCTCTACATATTAAAGGACGAGAAGGTCGTGTATCAAGGCGGGAGGGGTCCGGAGGGCTACCGAATCTCGGAGCTCAGAGACTGGCTGGAGCGTTACCGGAACGAGCTGGAAGCGTCAGACGCGCCTGTGGTTGTGCACGTGTAAAAGACGCGCGCGGATGGATGTTTGGATGTTTCCACTTCTCTCGTGTCCTTATCATAAAGTCATAGAAACATGCACTCTAAAAAAAACTCTTGTTTTAACCCAACTTTGGGTCAGATATGGATGGACCCAGCCGTTGCGTTGGGTTAGATTTTTAAATAGCATTTTTAACCCAACGGTCGGGTTTGGTCATATTTGACCCAAAAATGGGTTGAAATAACCCAGGTTTTTTTTTTTTTTTTTTAGTGTATTGACTGTTTGCACTCTTACCAACAGGGTCATTGAGTCCGGTTTTACTGGGATCTTTATAATGTTTAGCTTCTACAGATCAGTGTTTTTGGTTCCACTTTATTTCAATAGTCCACTTTAGACATTCTACTAACTATAAGTAACTTTTCAACTACATGTTAACTAACTCTCATTAGAGTATTAGTAGACTGTTAGGTTATAGTGTTAGGGTTCGGGTTAGGAGAATAAGTTGACTTGTAGTTGTAAAGTTGCTTATAGTCAGTGGAATACCTGTTGGGGATCATCACAATAAAGAGTTATCAGTCTACTAATACTCTAATGACAGTTAGCTGACATGTAGTTGCAAAGTCACTTATAGTTAGTAGAATATCTAAAGTGGACTATCGAAATAAAATGTTACCGTGTTTTGTTTTTTTGGGTTCTTCAAAATAAGCTAATGTCTCTTTGGATAAGGATTTTGTTCCACTGAGCTTGAGCCAGGCTCTTTTTTAACCAGGGGTCCATCACTGTAAAACCGTTTCCTCAGGTAGCCTAAAAATGGGTTACACACCATTTAAAAAGTCATTTGAAACAATTCATAACAGTTGCACATTTCACTTTGTTTACAGTGTGGACCCCTGGGGGCCGCGAAGGAGGTGTGGAGAAAAACTAGTTTTTTTAAAATATATTTTCATGATATATATATAAGATGGATGGATGTTTTCCCATGCAAACTCTTGTGTCTTTATAATGAAGTCATTAGCTGTGTTCAAAACCTAATGTGAATGTGTGTTTTTGTGTGTGCATTCTTTACATCATAGAGATGCTTTTTAGAAATTTACAAAAAAAAAAAAAAAAAAAGTCATTGATATTTCAATACAGGTTCAAAACAGGAATAACCGTCAGATCCGGGGTTTTCAACCAGAGCATTTTCTATGACATTTCAAACTGTTGGAATATACATTCCGTTTAGAACTATATTATGCTTTATGTTCTTAGTGAAAGTTCTAAAGTGTGGTGAAGCTTCTCATATGGGTCTGTAGGTTGAAACCCCTTGATCTGGAGGAGGAAACGTGGAAATGTGCATCTCACCAGGTTTTGAACACAGCCATCAAACCAGTGTCTTCAGCTGCTGCTACAGACTCTCACACACAATACTGCACATGTTGGGTTTTACTTTCACGCATACAGTTATCTAGACAGATGTTTAAGCGACCGCATGATAGCTGTTGTGCTTTTTGTGTTTTTACGTCAATCCAACCTGGCATTTTATTTGAAATATTGCAAAAAACAGTATATCTATCTATCTATAACATATCCTATTTTTATTTTTGTATGGTATCTTTCCCCTGTGAGCGTGTATGTGTGTGTGTGTGTGTGAATGTGCGGCCAGGAGGCCGTTTCATTGTACTCTGGAGTTATTGTGAAGATCGGTTTTTAAAAGGATTTTAACCAGAAAACCGATACTGATGTAATTTGACACTAGAGTACAGGACAGAGAAATGGCCTCCAGACGTATTGCCAAATGTTGTTTTGTAAATGGTGTATATTTTATTGAACACTTTTTTTAAAATAAATGGTAGAGCACCCTCTAAATCGGTTTTATCCATAATTTCTAAGTGTGTTAGAGACTCGGCTGGACCTGAAATGTGAAAAATAAACAGTTATGTGAAATATAGCAATATAATGTGAGGTAAATTATGCATTTCTGTGAAAGTAAGATACACCAATACTTGTTTTTCCTGACTATAATATTTCTTTGTATCTGAGACGTTTTAACACGCCAAACGTACTGTAAATTATCTCTCATATTGCCTGTTTATAGGGATGTAAAAGCAACACGTTTAGCTTCAAAATTCATAATTAGGCATTGGGAAATTATGTCAAACATCTTAACTAATTCTCATTAGAGTATTTATTGACATGGTTAGTAAAATAAGTTGACAATTGACATGCATTTGCAAAGTTACTTATAGAATGCCTAAAAAGGGTTGCCAAAAATGCAAACACAAACGATCCATGTTTAATGGTGTTGGATAAACCAAGCATCACTATTAATATTGCTCATGTGCATTTTAATAAAGCAAACACTCTCACATACTCACACATCAAGTTAACCTAACTAGGCTCTCGAGGAATGTCTGGTGGAGTGAACTGTCTTTAGAGCTGTAACATCTAAAGATGAGCGATCTTAGAGACACACTATACACTCTAAAAACACTGGGTAAAGGGCTGAGTAAATATAGAACGGAACACATGTTGGGTTAATTTTACCCAGCAAATTGGGTTGTTATTTAAACCCAGAATATTAGGCTGAATTTTACTATAGCTTATTTTTACTTCACACATGAATTAATGATTACAGATTAACTTAAATCCTCTAAATGTTTTTAAAATACTCCACACAACCACTGGTTTGCACGATAAATCCTTTATTTTTGATAATGTTTTAATACATATTGCCTACATTTAAGCTCGTTTAACAAACATTTAGAAGTAATTAAGTGTTATTGACCAGTCTCTGTTGTCCCGTTTCCACCGTAACGGCGCTGGATCATGCGCAAATAGCCCGCGATAAATAACTCAACCCCTGGGTTATTAAAACGTCTGACCCAGTAGCTGGGTAACACAAAAAACTACCCAAACACTGGGTTGTTACGTCTGACTCAGGATCTGCTTAACACAAAAAACTACCCAAACACTGGGTTGTTACGTCTGACTCAGAATCTGGGTAACACAAAAACTACCCAAACACTGGGTTGTTACGTCGGACCCGGATCTGGGTAACACAAAAACTACTCAAACACTGAAAAAGAACACAAAAGGCTCAACAGGATTTGGGTAGAAAAAATAACCCAAGATTTTTTAGAGTGTAGGGACATTTCACTGCACACAAACATCTGAACTTCTGCATCACCACTAAAGCACTCAACCTCATGCGTTACAGTGATTCATCACACATGTGAGTGATGACACGGAGTGAAGTGAAATACATAAAACCCCTGGTCAAAATCACTGTAATGCACAACCTTGAGTGGATTATTGCAATAAAAGACAATAAATAGTCACATTTATTGTTATAGTTTTTTAGTTTGTTTAGTTGCAAATCAATGCATTCATATAGAAAAGGTGTGATATATAATTTATTTTTGTCATGAAGGGTCATTGTTATCGCATGTGTGAAAAATATTAAAATCAAAGGCAAAATAAGGATAAAAACACTATTTACAAACTGGCCTGTTGGAAGCTAAAAGAAACAGTTATGATTTTATCAAACATTATGTTCAGTAAACTACACTGTAAAAGTTTGAATTACATGCAAAAGTTTCTCGTGCGCAAGCAAAAGTTTCTCGTGCGCAAGCAAAAGTTTCTCGTGCGCATGCAAAAGATTTTCGTGCGTTTCTCGTGCGCATGCAAAAGTTTCTCGTGCGCATGCAAAAGTTACTCATGCGCATGCAAAAGTTTCTCGTGCGCATGCAAAAGTTTCTCGTGCGCATGCAAAAGTTTCTCGTGCGCATGCAAAAGATTTTCGTGCGTATGCAAAAGTTTCTCGTGAGCATGCAAAAGTTTCTCGTGCGCATGCAAAAGTTACTCATACGCATGCAAAAGTTTCTCGTGCGCATGCAAAAGTTTCTCGTGCGCATGCAAAAGTTTCTCGTGCGCATGCAAAAGATTTTCGTGCGTTTCTCGTGCGCATGCAAAAGATTTTCGTGCGTTTCTCGTGCGCATGCAAAAGATTTTCCTGCGCATGCAAAAGTTTCTGGTGCGCATGCAAAAGTTTCTCGTGCGCATGCAAAAGATTTTCGTGCGCATGCAAAAGTTTCTGGTGCGCATGCAAAAGTTTCTTGTGCGCATGCAAAAGTTTCTCGTGCGCATGCAAAAGTTTCTCGTGCGCATGCAAAAGTTTCTCGTGCGCATGCAAAAGTTTCTCGTGCGCATGCAAAAGTTTCTCGTGCGCATGCAAAAGTTACTCGTGCGCATGCAAAAGTTTCTCGTGCGCATGCAAAAGATTTTCGTGCGTTTCTCGTGCGCATGCAAAAGTTTCTCGTGCGCATGCAAAAGTTTCTCGTGCGCATGCAAAAGTTTCTCGTGCGCATGCAAAAGTTTCTCGTGCGCATGCAAAAGTTTCTCGGGCTCATGCAAAAGATTCTCGTGCGCATGCAAAAGTTTCTCGTGCGCATGCAAAAGATTCTCGTACGCATGCAAAAGTTTCTCGTACGCAAGCAAAAGTTTCTCGTGCGCATGCAAAAGTTTCTCGTGCGCATGCAAAAGATTCTCGTACGCATGCAAAAGTTTCTCGTACGCAAGCAAAAGTTTCTCGTGCACATGCAAAAGTTTCTCGTGCGCATGCAAAAGTTTCTCGTGCGCATGCAAAAGATTCTCAAGTTTCTCAATATCAGCCACAGAAGAGACTTTTATAAAAAAAAACATGAATTATTCCAATCTTCTCCGTCCTTAAAATGCAGCGGTTTAGTGTGTTTGACAAAAGAACGTCTATACCAGTGTTTAGACAAAGGAAAGATGTCTTGTCAGATTTTCCATGATGTTCTTGTGCTTATCAAACACTCGTCTGCAATCTGACAGGATGGAGTTTGTTGGAGCGACGATCCCGTTTCTGCGGCCCACACTCCGGAGATTGTTTAGTCTGTGTTTGAACAAAGAGCGAGAGAGATTGTTTGGGCCAGTTTCGGGGGGATGGATGGAAATACGTGAGGCTTGAGTGCTTCATGATGGCTTTTGAATGAGTCTCTCTGAGTGCAGAGCAGCAGGAGATGTGATTAAGGCCCACGTGGCGCTCGTCCTCGCGGCTCGATTTAATGTATTCAGTCCTCTTCTTTATCAGCG